TGCGCACTGGTGATTAGAATTGCACATTCAGGTGCAATTCAGAGAGAGGCCTTTTGGTGATGCAGCAGCCCCTCAAACAGAGTACAGGCACGACCAACACAGTCTACCTCCTGAAGGATCCACACAGCAACACTGTAGGTAATCCTCAGAGTGCCTTGGGAGCAGTGGAGCACCTCAATAGGCCAAGCAGTGTCAAAACGTCGGACCTAACGGGCTTACACACCACATCAACATACCACACCTAAAGTATGAAAGACAATCAATCCATTAAACTGTGGCAAGGACTACAAGATCTCAATATCATTGTGGACAGCAGCCTTGGGCATGTTGAGGTTGCTATCATTCAATGACAGAAGCAGGCAAGATCAACCCGTTGTATCGGTGGTTCTAATGTCAGGGTTAACCAACTACGCAGAGCACTCCTTTACCCCTACCAGTGCCTCACTAAGTATCACAAAGCGCTGCTATCTTCCAATAGTGTTGAAGACTGCTTGAGTTATCTGTACACCGATTTCCTGATTTGCTGGTCTGCTGTTCCCATTCAATACAATAATCATGGTTTGTAATTCGTCTGTTGAGTTAAAGTTTGTCCTCTTGAAACATTGGCCGCAGATCTGAACCACTGGTCTGAAGTAACTAGCAGAACACTTGAGAGCGCACACAAACAAGAACATGGAGATAATTATGACACGAGCACATTAAAACGATGCTTGTGTACTGATCACTTCCCTTTTTCATTATTTGTGTGTGCTTAAGTTCTCTTCTATGCAAAACACACCCAACCAAAAATCGATGCTCTTGTGAAGTAACTAGATGATTAAGAAAGAGATCGAGTACTCTAGGCAGGCATTCTCGGATTGCGAGATGTAGTTCACCACTATACTTCAAGAGAAAGGGATAACAGTTGCATATCACCGGTACTTACAGGACTGAAACCTGGAGGCTTACAAAAAGGGATCATCTTATATTGAAGATGCAGCATGCCACATAGAGAAAAGAGATAGACAAAAAGAGAGCGAAGTAAGTCAAGTAGCAAACGGTTCTTGATTTCGAGTAAGACGTCTCACTTAGAATCAAGAACAAGAAATGGGCATTGGTAGTGCATGCACCAAGAAGGCAAGATAAGCACTCATCATTAAGAGTAAAAGATTAGATACCAAAAGAAGCCAAGTGTGCTAGGGCGAGGCAGAAAGTCAGATGGGCAGATCAGATTAAGAGGTTTGTAGGAATAACATGGCCATAAAAGGCGTAGGGTCAGGTAGGGTGGCAAAACATGGGAGAGGCCTCAACTCCCTCCAATGAGCATAGCTAAATAGATGATGTAGTATTGCGTTCAAAGAAAAAGAAACAGCGAAATAGGACAGCTTTTAGTGTAGATAAACAGTTTGTGCTTTTATGCCAAACTTATCTTAGTCTGTCCCATGGACCAACCCTAAAAATCATGACAGTGTTGCCATGAAGAAGTTGGAATCAGACAATGTTATCATGTCATGTACTTGCTGAAGAATAGCAAAGTAATCTAGCCCTGCCTTGTAAGCAGCCTGATAACAAGAATTTATTCCCCTATTAGTGCCATAAGCAACAAGTGACACTCGATGCCCTCTTTCAGACTACCTTGTCTTGTGCCAGTGGAAGTTGTCCAAAGACCCTGATAAAAATTTTTAAAAATATAAAATGGGTGAAATCGATTAAGCTAACGGCTGGATATGATAGTGTGGACATTAGGGTATTCACAAATTTAATAAGGATCATAACTGGTAGAAATCAGTATAAATGTACTGTACAGAAATTGGCAGTGGGGATGTGGCTCCAGAAGAAGAGGCCAGCGGGTTGGTTATAAAGCCACTGTTCTGGTGCTGTCCTGCGTGTTACTTCTCGTTGCTCAACTTTACCATCTGACGACTTTGTCACCTAGAGCGCCTGGTGACATTTGGTGGTTGAGCTGGGTATTTCCAGACCTGGAACTCCAAAACCGGACCCTTCCCCCCTTGCCTGTCATGCCTGAAAACACTGCCCCGAGCCAGCCTCCACAGGCGTCGTCTGCGGCCACCTGTTCAGGTACACTACGCCGAGATCCTACCATGTTCAGTGGAGCCGAAGATCAAGACGTCGACAATTGGTTGTCATTGTACAACAAAGTTAGTGTGACTAATAAGTGGAATGAAGCAGATAAGCTCAACTACATCACCTTCTACCTCTCAGGAATCACCAATACGTGGTTCCACGTGCATGAATCAGAGGTTTCCACATAAGCGGCACTCAAGACTACTAGACTCCAAGATGTATTTGGACACTTTGCAGTCCGCAAGCTTCGGGCAGAGCATCAGCTTCGCACCTGTGCTCCACATAGAGCTGAAAACTTCACCAACTACATTGAATATGTAGTGGACAGTTGCTATCACATAAACTCCAACATGACCTAAAAAGAGAAAATAAAGAACATTATGAAGAGCATAGAGGACGATGCCTTCCAAATGCTCTTGGTGAGGAACCCCAAGATGATTATCGAAGTAACGACTATTTGTAACAGCTACGAAGAAATACGTAAGCAACGCATTTCAACGCACTGAGATCTCGCACCACATGGCGCGCTTTTGGCACACGGCATCAGTTCCTGTGCTGCCCCCTCCGACCCATCGTTTCTCAATCAAGTCAAGCAATTTGTTCAAGAAGTCGCACCCCAACTGTTTCTTCTGCCAGTCTCCTAGGCGTCCAAGTCGCTCTTGACTCCCGAGGTCTGGCAGGTCATACGAGAGCAAGTGGCTGACATCATACTCCTTGCTCATCAACCGGTTCCTGTGACAGCTCCAGTTACTTATAGTGCCATCGTAGCCAAGACCACTGTTTCTGCCTGTGTCATACGCACCTACGTCCACCTTCCCTTCCCTTGTTCCCTCGTCTACAAACATACACCAAGAAACTATGGTCCACTACTGCAGCCTCTTTGCTCAGCTCAGCAATAGTTCGCTCTGCCTGTGGCCCGTTTTCAACCCGTGGTGCACCCCTGAAAACCGGCCCATCTGTTTCCCATGCGGAAGCGCTGGCCACGTAGCATGGTTTTGCCGCCGTCACGCAGAGTAGTCTCCCGACTGTGCATGGCCACAAAGCAATGGTCCGAACCACGCCTTCCACTCTGGTAATGACGCCCAGCACTTCGGCGTCGTGCTTGCTGCTTCCCAAGCTTTCAGCACACGGCGATCTCTATCCCGTCCTCGGCGTTCTCAGTCTCCTCTCATCCGCTGAACTGAAGCTCCACAAGGGGAAAACTGACAAATGCAGTTTAAGAGGCAAGAACTTCCTCTCTATGAATGGCTCAAAACCTCATTTATTCCCCGTGAATGTAATTATAGTTTATGCCGAAAATATTGCCGTTCATGTGCTTGTACATATGGCAGCAGCGCTACCAGTGATTCCAACCAGCTTCGCCTTAAGCTCTGCAAACTCCAGAACCTGTTTTCTGCGCTTTCATTATATACAGCCAGTGCAGAGCTCATCGATCGTTTGGGAACATGTTTGGGTTCATGTTTTTGCAGACGCCATTTTTTACCACATTGAGCTCAACGTTCTGCCTCGCTGCTCTCGTGCCATGATCTTGGGATGAGACTGCTTGCAATCTTGTCCTACCGTGATTGATTGAACCCGCGAAGAACTTTCTCTGTCTCAATTTGGAGGCAGCGGTCAAGACAATACCATTCCTCCTTTCTCTTCCACTCATGTTGTCATCTCTTGCACTGCCAAGTGTGGATTATCAAAATCAAAATCAATCCTTCAACTTCACGCAGACACTTACTAAAAGATGGAGAGTTAATTATAGCTGTAACACTATCATACCTGTGAAACCATGCTGCAGGAAACAATAAATGATGCTCCCACAGTGACTTGCTGGTGATGGCAAAGTCACTTCAACATAATTACAGCAGCACCGTTTGTGTCGTGCCAGATGGGTCAGAGCACTGGTGTTGAAGATTGGCATGGAGAGAGAAGTTTGGACGACTACCCTGAAATCATCTGCATTGATACAGCATATAAACTTCTTGAAACAGAAATGTCACATTTCCTCGTTACAGTGAAAGTAGGAAATGGAGTGAAATCGTGGCAGCTGGTTATTTCCCAAACGAACGTCATGAGTTTAAATTGCTTTCCAAGGAAGCAACAAACCGCTATAGGGCCTCTCTTGATGCTGATAAGCAGAGACGCTTGTGAGGATACCACTACAGTAGTGCATGGCTTCTGAAGTACATAATTAAACATATGAAAAGCCTTTGGCTAATGAACAACGGTGAGCCCACAAAATTTTCCCTAGCAATGCCTACCTGTGAAAGTATATTAAGGTATTTGATAGCATATGTTGGCATATACAATGAAAACTAGCTGATTTATTGTTATTATTTGTTTTGCTCACAGATATTTAAAGCTTCAATTGGCTTTTGAAGATGATTAAAGTAAAATTGAGAAATACATGGAATGAAAAGGCACGGAGGCCTTGCAGGGAAACAAAACGAAACTTTCTACTCATCTTGACACCAGATATTTCAGTTATATTGAAGGATTTGTGGATTTAGGAAAGTTTACTGACGACTGCAGCAAGCACACCAAAGCAAATCATGAATTGGTTGTCATGCTGCAGCTATTTATAGGCAAATGGACTTAAGTTATAGCTATAGAGCGTTCAATTAAGCTGTCAGAGTAGAAGAAGTTAACTGGTTTCCTTCACTATTTTTGCAGTGCTGTATTTCCATTTCGTGGAAATGGGAAAAGCAGAGTGCTAGCAAGAATTCTTTAAGAAGTATCAATCCTGCATAAAAGGGCACTTCATGTAGATTCGATCTGCTCTGATGGTGCTACCTGGCAACCACTAATGTGGAATGCCTTTGGCCTACAAGACAATTTCAAAAATGTGCAACACAATGCATCCTAGTGATACTACTGCACTTCGTGTCAAATTTTCTGCATCTCGTTAAATATGTGCCAAATGCAGTGATAAAAACAGGCTTCAATGCTCCAAATGAAAGAAGACACTGTATTATTACCTTCATTATCTGTGAAGTATTGTCAACGTATGCCATGCCCCTTGTACAGTTCCAGTGCTTGCTTAGTGCAATTTTTCGTTGGTTGATCTGGAGCGATCCCTGAAACGAGTACTTGAATTTTGCAAATCCGAATGTACCAGCAGAAAGCAAGAATGCGCCAAAGAGAAGTTCACAGAAAGTCTATGTGGCATGGTGCCTCGTCTACTCTAACGCACGTGAGTTGCAAAGTGTAAACAACGAAGAGCCTAGTGCACCCTCTCGGTGCATAGCTCGCATGACACTTTGTAAGCAGCCGTGTCTTGGCACTTGTGAAATAAACGCTTTTTGTTACCAAGCCTTGAGGAGATTCACTTCTTTTCGTGCTCCTCGAGCTCGCATCATGGTGTTGAAAGTGCAATACTTCATTACAGCATAAATTTAGCCCAAAAAATGACGAGGACAAGAAAGTGAACACCACAAGCTCTTTTACGATATAATAAATCAGAACCAACTCGCTCGCCTCTCTGCTTTGAATTACTTTTGCTGTCCCTTCTAGCCACTGCTCTTACCCAAAACGGTCTCCAACAACCATGATGACAGACTCTACTATGACAGCTATGAGCGCCACAACAGGCATCCCTCTAAATCCACAACCATTCCGGTTTGAACGTGCCTCCTAGTGACCTGCGTGGATGACGACTGCCGCTATCAATCTGGACTTGTCCAATGAGAGCAAGAAATGCAGGTGCTAACTCGGCTCTACATAATGGGCTGTAAAGCGAGACAAAGTTTCAACACATTTTCAGTCTCCACGAAAGACGTCAGAAACTTCATCCTTGTCACGACAAAGTTTCAGTTGCACTTTGTCTAAGTTAGATAGGTCATCTACGAGTTGGCGTACTTCGAATGACATGAACAAAACCCCTTTGAGGCAGTCAACCAGTACTTCATTGCCATATGCAACGTGGCAGAGAGACAAGCATGCGACTACAGTGACTTGCAGCATCATCTCATCTGCGACTGGTTCGCACTTGCATTCCACAAAGAAAAAAAAAAACCCTTCAAGCTCTACAGCAGGACACTAACCTCACACTAGCCATGGCACTCACTAAGGCATGCTAAAAGGAGTCCAAACACCATCAGTGGCAGCACCTCCTCGAGGCCTCTCAGAGACCATTCTCTCTCAAGTCAGAATACACAGGGCTCGCATGACACAGTCTCTTACAATCATCGCAGCAAAGGCACAAACTTCCAATGCCCACATAAAACCCCATGAAATAGGTGTATTAAATTGTGTGGCTACTGCAATGGACTGTCTCATTTTTGTTCTCTGTGCCCACCAAAGACAGATAAGTGCTTTAATTGCAACAACATTTGCGATTTCACGCGTGTCTGCGGAAAAGTTCCCTCAAGAGACATCTCAACACTCGAGCAAGGAACCTCAGCTATGTTTCTTGGTGTCAGAAACCAAATTGTTAAGACTTAGCGCGACTCTAGACTTGTCGAAATAGACCTGAATGGCTACCTGAATAATTTGATCGCAAAGATGTACACCGATGCTCAAGTCTTTGTTGTCCTGACTATCTTTACGAGAATTCCTGAATATCTTGGACTGGCAAGAAATACCCTCATAGGACCGAGTGGCAAAGTACTTCAGATCATTGGAAAATTTGATACGATGATCACGTGGAGGTCTTAAAGGTGATCTGTGTAGTGCAACAGCTGAAACATCAACTCCTCTGATTACCTGCCATAGAAAGTTGAAACTACTTAAGTTTCTTTGTGCCACAGAGCATGTTGAACAACATCCCAAACTCTTCGGCGGTGCTGGGTACATACAGCCCTCCTCTCAAACCTACAGCTGTGCTGTACTCTGTGACCATGGCAAGGTGCATTCCTGTGCCCCTACAAAAAAGCAGCCACGCAAGAGATCATCAGAATTTAATAAAGAGTGATCCGCCCAAGAAGGCCCAACAAACTGGTGCGCTGGAATTAATCCAGTAGTGAAACCCTCAGGAGGTTTCCGAATATGCGTGGACTTCACCTGCCTTTAATCTTCACTCCTCATGAAAGACTTCTCTCTCGTCAGCCGAACAGATGCTCACTTTGTGGGGTGAGGCAACCGTTTTCTCGAGACTATATGCGAATTCGGGCTTTCACCAAATTGCTTTCCCCATGTCATGCCAAGAGTTGACAACACTCATAATGCCAGTAGGATGTTTTGTTTCACATGACTTCCGTTCGGCATAACATCAGCACCATATGTTTCCAAGAACACATGTCTGGTATCCTGAGCAGACTAATGGGAGTTGTCAACTCTCATGAATGACATCCTCGTCTTTTGCCACGATCAAGCCGAGCACGATAGAAACCTTGACATGACTTTCAAGCAGCTTGCTTCCTCTGGAATCAACCTCAACCTCTCTAAATCTGCTTTCAGCATGAAGGAGGTGACCTGCCTATGCTGTGTCATCAGTTTTCAAGGCATACATCTCAACTCTTAAAAATGTGAAGGCCATCACTGTAGTGTCGTGGTTTCGGTTCCGGTTTTGGAACCGGTTGGCTGGCCCCTAGGGGGCGTTGTACATGTGTATATAATAGTATGCTTGTGTACATAAAGTGAGTTCCTGCTTGACTATCGGCTGCTGGGTACTTCGTGTCGGCCGGCGCTTCAGCGTCGTGCCGCACGATACTACGTTTTATCGATGAGGATCTGCAATCCACGAGCATCATGCGAATAAGGTGAGCATCGAGCCTTCTTCCTCATGCCATCAACTCAGCACCCGTGCAAGCTACCCCACCGATGCAGTATTTCCTGAAGATTACATGCTTGTGACGCACCGAGACCATACCTGCATTGCTCCGCGTCTATCCTGCCGAAATGTGAGCCATTCTTCGTTCTACTTTCTGCTGTGCGGCTCACATTCATGATGCTACCTAAGGATATTTCGGCGGATTGACGGGACTGCGGACCTTTATATGTAGGGCGGCTCTACATTTATTTCCGCATCTGGTCTGTCCCGGCAGCATGTTTCCCCCGATTCCACCACCTTCATTCTCGCAATGCCCTGGGGAACGCTTTCATAGTCCAGGCAGCGTTGGAACAAGCCAAGGAAAAGGAGCGCGTCGACCGCGCGTTGAAGCAGCTGGCTGCTATGCAGGTCGACTCGATTACGCGATGCGAGCATCAACGCCGCAGAGTTCGTCCTCAACCCATACTGCTACAATGTTGCGCTACCAACTCTGCTGTGCCATCAGCCCCTCCGATGTCTGCGGAAATTTCACAAATTCTACAGGGCCATACTTCAACTTCACATGCAGCAACGATGCCTGCTCGGACTGAGAGTGTGCTCGCTTGTGCTGCACCTGTTAGCGTCCCAGCTCGTCGTGCTTCTGAGGCGCCTGCTCCTGTCGTGTTGCCGGCAGTTGAGCGTACCATGGTTCCACCTGATTTGACTGAGAGTGCTCTTGCGAGGATGGCTGTTTTGATCCGGTCTGCAGCTGCTGATTATACTCTTCCTGCATCAGCTGTCTATCCTTCGCTTGTGCCTGCTCCTGTTCTGCATGCTGCTCCGGCAGTACTTCTTCAGACTAACGATCATCTTAGCGAGACTGTTTCAATTCAGTGTCCACCGGAAGTGCATCCGCCAAGCATTCCAGCCGTGATTCCGGAGTCAGTCCCTATTGCTGCTGAGGTGCTTCCGCTGGTCGCGTCCAGGCCAACCATGCCCGTTCCTACTCCCTGCACGGCTTCTGCATCGATGGGGCCGAGCCAGGCTCCATCGGAGCATCGTTACCTGCTTGTTCCGGCCCCTACTATGCCGAAAGTACCCTGGATGCAGAGTTCATGGGCCTATTCTCGCGCTCCACCGGACTGCTGTGGGCGACGACAGTCCAGCCACCTCCTGTGGGAATGGCACCGGTACAGGCGTCGGCGCCGTAGACACAAACAGGACAGCGACTATGCGGACATCCTCTCTCGGGGGAGGGGATGATGGGCCATATATTGCGCACTGTGCCTTGCTTTCGTGTTGCGTGCTTTCATGTTGTGTGCCGGCCGTACATTTGTATCTTACATTGTGCTAGGTGCAGTGTGTGCTTGCGATTCCTTCTCAAGTGTGCATGACCTTTGTATTTTCGTGTGTAATTCTTCATGTGTTATGTTGCAAAATCTCTTACTCTTCTGTGTATTCTGTGCATTGTATTATTGTGAATTGGTTGTGTGGAGGACCCCACATCATCTTCATTTCAAGGCGGAAATGATGTGGTGTCGTGGTTCCGTTTTTGGAACTGGTCGGCTTGCCCCCATGGGGCATTGTACATGTGTATATAATAGCATGCATGTGTACATAAAGGGAGTTCCTGCTTGGCTACTGGCTGCTGCGTACCTCGTGTCAGCCGGCGCTTCCGCGCCGTGCCCTGTGTTCTCTGTGCGGTGCGTGCGCCGCACGAAACTACAATCACCATCAAGTTTCCCCCACCCCTTACAGACACTGCCGCAGTCTGCCGGGTCTTAGGAATGGTGGACCATCTGGCAAGGTTCCTGCCAAATCTCGTCAAAAGGACAGCTGCGCTTTGCATCCTTCTTAAGGAAACATTGGAGTAGACAGGGTGCCCCATTTAGGAAAAAGTTTTCAAAAACATCAAAACTTCATCTGTTTGGACCAGTGCTAGGCAAAATACTATTCAGAAAATACCATTACACCTTCAGCAGATGCATCAGCCTATGCATTTAGCACAGTAATGCTACAAGTACAACCGCCCAGTAGCCTACGCCTCAAGATCCCTAACACCAGGCAAAACACGGTATGCTAAGATAAAAAAAGAAGCATTGACTCTTACCTTGGGAGCCTAACAGTTCGAAGAATACCTTTGAGGCCTCATGCCAACCTTTCGAACAGATCAACTTTTGATCCCCTTCTTGCAAGCTCTTGATCTGCTGCCACCGTACATTAAATGCTTCTGCACACGCCTTGTGCACTTTGACTAAATTATGAAGAAAAGCGTACATTTAAGGGCTCGTTTTCTTTGTTAGACACAATATTAATAGGATCTTACAGACAATCACACTAAAGAAAGTATAGGAGATGTTACTAGATGTAATTGTAAATTAAATCTGA